GCCGAGCAAGAACGGGCATGCTTGTCTTCTGTGCTGTGTTTCAATTTGTTGTGTGTGGCGTCGTTCGCTCTGGATCGTTCGCTTCCGCCCCCACAAGGCTCAGGAGGCTATGGCTAAGCGAGCCTGCAGCGAACCGGGTCAATGACGCAACTTGTGTGATGTGAAGCTGTAGTGAAGTACTTGCCCGATGTGGAGATCCACTGCTGATTTGTTGATATACTTCAGGCATCCTGCTCCTGCTCTACCTAGAATTCGGGACTCGCTTTCCAAGTGTGTTGCTGTTTTCGGTGAGTCTGCGCCTCGTTTGTTTTGCGCTGCAAGTGCTCCAAATACGGGATCTAGGAGCATTGGAGTATGCTCTAGCTTTACTCCGACAATTCTGGCCAGATTACCTGCTAGGCCATACGATGCGGGGCAAGCTCAGCTGTCGGCTCCCCGCCCAAGGAATTGTCTCCCGAAGTTCTGACGCCAGGGATTCTCGAGCATGCCGCAATTCCAAAGTCCAGAAGTTTCTCCTACCCTTTCTCTCTTTGTCTTGTTTCGCTGTTTTAGCTTGCGACGAGCCGGAAGTGTGACATGACCAAGAGCCACGCCTAGATATAGTTGGTTGAAGTTAGGAGCGCATCAAAATCTAAAGCAGGAATGCCGGCGTTTTTTCTGGTCATTTGCATGATCTGGCATATTCAGGGCCCCAGAACTTTATTCCCTTCAGGCCCCAGACTAGGATGCTGTAGCAAGGGGCGCTGATGTTCTTCTCCGCCTATAATCCCTGTATAACTGCGCTTTAATATGCCCCCAAGTTCTTCTTTGAACTAGGCTCCCGCACTACGCGCCCAGACGCAGGCACCATAACATTCGCGCCGCTCTTCTTGGAGGTGGCCGTGGCGAAGCTTTGGTTGGGCCAATATGTGGCTTAGCCGCGTCTGGGTGTTTTCCCATATTTAGGGGAGTTTCAGGGTTCAGGGTCTAGGGTTTCCATCCATTTTCAATGATTATAGAAATTCTCCATTAATGTCCAAACTACAAAAATACACCAGAACAGTGGAAGAAACTTGCTCGTCCTTGGCGTGTCGATAGGGATAGTGTGATGCACCATAAAGGGGATATAAGGAATCATGCAAGGATTAGGCGGAGCTTCAGGTTTTGGATTGGGTCTATCATTTTCAGGTCGTTGTAAAGGGTTGGATAGCAAAAGGCTTGACGAGAGAAACACCGATTCCCAAATGTTAGTGATGGTGCCCCACACAAAATTATTTTTATCAATCTCGGTTAAGGAATAGAGGGATGTACGATTATCGAGGTATCATCAGTTTGTTGGGATTGTGATGGGGAGTTCATCAGACTGCCAACTTGCCGGGTTCAAAGCGCTTACGGCGTGCTGTGTGGAGTCCAGATTCTCTTTGTTGTGGGGGATTGTGGAAGGGTGATGCGGCTTGGACTGTCAGGTGAGCGAGGGATGAAGTGGGCGGAATTTTTTGAGAATGAAACTGGCACTTCCGAAACTCACACTCCCACTTCTAGGAAACTTACACCGAATTCCGAGCCACAGCAGAAAACCTAGACCTAGACCTTAGTGAGAGATGGCCCAGAAAACTGCGGCATTCGAGCACGAACCTTGAGCTCTGCAGGTGACAATGGTGCTGTTCACGATCTTGCTGATTTTCACGAACTCCCGGACGCAAAACATGCTACTGCCAGCTTTGTTGTTCTTTTGCGTGCTTCTCGGCTCCTGTGCACGCGGGGGGCTTGTGGTATGTTGTTGTAGTCTTCATAGTCATCATCAAGGGCAGGAGCAGTAGGAGTAGGAGTGGGAATAGGGGTAGGAGTAGGAGTAGGGGCGTAGGCGTCGGCGTCGGTCGGCGTAGGTAGGCGTAGGCATAGGTGTAGGCGTAGCCGAGGCGGAGCCGGCGTCGGCGTCGGCGTCGTAGGCGAGGCGGAGGCGGAGGCGGAGGCGGAGGCGGAGGCGGAGGCGGAGGCGTAGGAGGCGGAGGAGGAGGAGGGGGAGTGGGAGCGAGCGCGGGAGCGGGAGCGGGAGCGCGGGAGTGGGAGCGGAAGGGGGCCAAGGAGTAAGACTAGCAGTAGGGATAGCAGTCGTTCTTGTTGCTGCGGCAGGTGCTGAAGTTGTTTCATTGTAGTTGTAGTTGAAGCTGTAGCTGTAGTTGTAGGTGTAGTTGTAGTAGGAGAAGCAAAGTATGAGAAGTAGTAGCACCTTGTAGCAATCGGAGTAGGAGGAGGAGGAAGAGAGGCGCTTGAGGAAAAGTAGCAGCAAGAAACGTTGCAGTAGATGTTGTCCGGCTTTTGGACTTTGCGTTTTAGGGTTCGGAAGATGGGATCAGTTCGAGGAGTCAGGCCCTCTTTGTTTCGTACGTTTGTCGGCCTATCCTTACTTACGGTAGAGCATTTCTTCGTGAAGGTTTCCGACTAATGCGCCCAATGCGCCCAATCAGCTGAGCACCAACAAGTTCAAGCAGCGTGGAACACTTCAAAACTAGGCCCGAAGCCTTCAATTTCAAACCCTATCCCATCCCAAATCAGACACGCTTCCAATTTATCCTATCAGGAGAAGATGTTTTAAACGAGGGGTGCGGGATTCAGTATTTGCGCTTCGGATGAGCTTGCAGTGCATACCTTGTTCGCGTTCGTAACTTGATCCTGAGCAATGCCTTACCCACTGCCTGCCTTGATCCTCAACGCTACGGAAAAAGGCGACACTTCACCGACTCCACCCTTCGCCTGAGAGTGTATTTAGATCTCCCTGGGCACAAGATTCTCATCCTGAGTCCAAGGATTTTCCACCAACTGCGAAAAAGCATGCTCTCCAAGAAGGAGCTTTTTCTAGAACTCCGGAACTTTGATTTGGACAAGGTGCCGTTAAGGATGCCGAATGCCGAAGAAGAGACGGTAGTTTAAACCCAGAACCAGAACCACTCAGAGGACTTCCACAACTTTGCAGTAAACCGGGATTTTTTTGAGCTGCCTGAGGAAACCCGAGAGAGCTAAATTTTCTTACTGGTGGTCTGTCGCGGCTACAGGGTCGTGGATTGCTACAGGGGGCTATATGGTAATTTCCCTAAATAGGGGGATGCCAGTATAGACCCCCAAATAGTATAATCCTTATTCTGGGGACCCACAAAAAGCTATCCCCAATTTTTGGGAATCCCCTAAACCCTAAATAAGCAGTGTCCATTTAATTTTCCATTTTCTGTTCCATTTGATTTTCCATCTTTTGGGTGGTAACATCCCCAAAAAAACACATAAACCCTTAAACCCATAAATTCTAGTTTCCATCTTCTTTTCCATTACCCTATGTAACCCCGCACTTTTGAGAGACTCCCATATTAACCCTAAACCCTAAACCCAGCACCTGAAAGCTCAGGGGTTCCTTCCAGGACTTCCAGTTGGGTACTGCTGTTACTGGGCGGGGGCAGTACCTAAACTTCCAGGAGTAGCAGACATCTCCTTCAGAACTTCTTAAGCACAGCTCAGGTCCCCAACATTGGATTGTCCAACTGAGCTATAGTCCAAACTCCTTAAAGGGGGTTATATAGGGGATTATATAGGGGACTACTATAGGGGTTATTAAGGGGGATACTAGGAGTTTAGACTATAGCTCAACTGGGGGCTCTTTGTCTTGCTTTTTCCATCTTGTTCGGATGCATGTAGTAGTTCTCATTATGAAGGAGCAGAGTTTCATTGCTTGTGCTGGAAGTCATGCATTCAGAAGGTGCAGTGCAAGAAGGAGTTTGACCGCAAGTTCATCTACTCAGCCATTGCGCCTTGCCACTTTAGGGTACATGGGAGGTTCTCGAAACTACCCCTATTTCATTCTTCGTGGGGATCCCTTCATGAGCCTAGTGTATCGTAGAGTAACCCTCCTTTCTTGCAGTCCCTAGGTCCCCCCCATTTGAGAACAAGTCAAATGGGGTTTCTCGAAAGTAGGGATACGTTTTTGGGGGTCCCAAGATGAATTTGGGGGTCTATATTCATTCGGATTTCCTGTTTTGGGAAACTCTCAAATGCTTTTGGGTTTGGGGTGAAGGGCTTGCAGTACATTGTACACTATGGGGCGTAAACCCATTGTCAAAGATTATGTGCTATAGGGTACGGCAGTCATTGTAGAGCTCAAAATGATATTGGTAATTTTTTCGGCCTCTTCGCTCCAGAACCCATCGACGCAAACCCCAGTTGTCAGTTCATTTTGCATATTCCTTTTCCACTGAATTCTCTTGTAGGGTTCTCGGGGGTTGATAGCACAGGGTTCTGACGCTGCTGCTTCTGTGGAAGTGCGCGCTTCCCGGAAATAGGAGGCTCACAAAAAATTGTTGGAACCACCCAAATCTTATGGTTTGCAGTTGGTTGTTTTTGCTCGCCTTCTGAATGACCCAATATCCCTGGGCACAGGACTCTCGCATTGTGTCACGTGAAGTCAGTACAAATGATATTCAGAACGTGTGAATGGGAGTTGAAGATGTGTGGCGCTGATATAAGGGGTCTTGGTGGACTTTAAGTGCAAGCTGAAAGTTGCCACAGAGTATTGAGGGCTGAGGGTCAAGAAGGGGTTTTGGCATGCGCTTGGCTAAGCTGCCCACCCTAAACCCTAAACCCTACACTCCCCCAAACTAACATGGAAACCCATATAGCCCCCTTTTACAAGGACTGTAGTCTTTTTTGGTCCCTTTTTGGGTTTCCATGTTAGTTTCCGGGAGTGTAAACCCTCCCCAGACAAAGGAGCAGTGGTATGGAAGCCAGAAGGCCTTCACAGACTACGTTCGAGGGCCATTGCAGGAAGAGCTGCTGAAGCCTGGGCTGATATAACCCTTACATAACCCCTATATAACCCCTATATAACACCTATAATCCCTGTAGTTTCCATCTTCTTTCCCATATTCCTATATACCTGTATTGGGCAGAGCGAGTTTGCAAACCATTTTTTTGGGTTTCCTAAGCCAGTTCCTACGCCCTGTGCGCCTCGCCCCAAAGTCTAACGCAAGAAGCACCAGGAAGAAGCAGGCGGACACACAGCTGCCGCTTCAATACACCTTCATCATACTGACGCCGCTGCTGAGTATTGGAATGGACGGATTTGTGGCCTTCATAAGGAGCGGCGTTCCCACCGAATGTCTGGTCTCCTACGGCTTTAGCGTTGTGCTGGGTGTCTTGCTGTGCTGGGCAGCTGCGTCCCAGCTCCAATACACAGACTCCCCATCTGGGATTAATGATTTGAGACACAAACCTGAAAACGTTTCTCTGTTCTGGGGTGCCGGAAGTTGATCTTCCTGGCAGTCTGCACAAAGGCTCATCCCCTCTAGAAGTCTGACACCCGGAACCCTCCAAAATCCAGCATCACATTTCCATGAACTGCGAGACGGGGACCCACAAACTATCTCAGCATAGACGCTAGCACCCCTAAACCCTGAACCCTAACCGCAAACACCCCTGAACCCTTACATCCCCAACGCGCTAAGTCTTTCAGCTTAGGGTGTATGCCACACCCCCCCCACTAGCCATTTTCCACAAAGCTCAAAGAAACCCTGATTAGGCTAATTTGGGGTTTAGTCGGGGGTGGGCAGTAAGTGGGCACGGGATGGTTCACAGGGTTTCAGAAAGTGATGTTGGGGCTTTGCTGTTTTGGAGGGTTAGGCTTCTTAGGCTGTTGGATCTTCAAAGGAAAGGCCGTAGCTTTCAATCCTTGTGGACCGCTTGTGGGTCGATTAAGGACTCGGCATTAAATTTTCAAGAAGCACCAGAGACGCAAGGAAGTGTACAAAACAAATTGAATCCGGGCTCAGGTGGTAGTTCGTATGGGGGTCTTTCTTTGCGATCGCTTTGCCGCCCCATGCGCGAGTGGCCTCTGCGATGCTTGGCTATGTGGGTCTTGAGGATCAAAGCCTTGAATTCAAGCCTGAGGCTTTAGCCTTCCCTAAGTTGATCTGGTATCCCGCGTAGGCCTTGTACAAAGAGAGTAGTTTTTGAGGGGACAGGGCAGCGCAAGGTTCGGCAAGTGGACCAAGCAACGTTTTGGGAAGCCTTATTGTCAAGAATCTCGTAGCTGCCCAAGCGAGATCATCCGACAGTTCTTCAAAAGGCTGGTCTTAGGCAAGTTTCGATTCATTAGGCCCCCTGTATTTCCCTATCTACCAAGATCCTAGTTTACAGACACCCCAGCCCTAAACTCTGAACCCTAAACCGTCAGTGGCTGTATCACTTGAACGGTGTCAGCCTTACAAGGAACCTTTCAGTCCGTAAATCCTACAGTGCTAGACCCGACACCCCGGGCCCTGAGACCTGAAGCAGGACGCTCGAGAGTCCAAACCCTGAACTCTCAAATCATGATATTATTGCATTCATTCTTACTGTAAGCTAAGTCCAAACCCAGGATTACCTGCAAAGTGTGGCAATCTTCCTGGTCTTTGTGGTCGCCATCTTCGCTGGTGTTGGTATCGGCGCGGGTTCCTACACGAGACCGGGCTTTGCAATTTTTCGGATGGGTATGACTCCTAAACCCTAAACCCTAAAGCCCCAAAACCCTAAACCCTAAAGCCCTTATAATCTCTCTGTTCCTTCTCTCTGTCTCTCTGCGTTTCTAGACGCATCCTCAGGGTGCCGAGGAAAACCCCGATTGGAGAAATCTCCATCTGCCGTATTACGTTTGAACTTGCAAGCTTGTTGATGCCCTTACGCTTTGTCTGAAAATTTGAGCTGGGTTGTGACCAGTTTGATTTACCTTAGAGACAGTTGAGGGCGGATTGAAAAGAGTTTGTTTAAATTTGAGGGTTTGAAGGTTTATATTGAGTGCCTGAGATCACCATGCTGGCAGGGGGCAGTTTTTTGAGCATGCATTCCACTCAGCAATCGTATGACCAGCGCTTTGGTCGTACATGTATCCAGGGCTTCTAACAATCCAGAGGTGGGCAGTCCCTTCAGACATGTGATGTGTGCGAGGAGGTAGAGATAGTCATAATAACCACAAGAATAGAAACGAGGAGAAGAAGCAGCGTAAGGATAACAAGCTTTGCAGTCCTGCCAGTACTTTCAAATCAAGATGCTCATGGCCTTACTTCAGCTTGCTTGCGTTTCTTGCATACCGAGGAGAGGCACGGGTCCTGCTTTCTCGTGGTTCCTTGGACATTGCTTGATCATTGGCAGTCAATGCTTTTCTTCGGCGGATTTTAAGGCCACATATTTCGAAAGGCTGCAAGACTCAGCTTCAGAGCGCGGACATGTAGACATCTTGTTGAGGTCCGACGAACTTGTAACAACGCATGCCTCCAAACAGCATTTTTCTGGCATGATGTGGCCCCAGGCCCTAGGCCCTAAACGCTGCATCTCAAGCCTACAGTAGCCTCTACTAGGATTTGGTATCCACTTCAGCCGTGCCTTTGGGTAGGGTATTTGAAAGGAAGAATACAACCTGACCTGGTTCAACCACCAGGAAAAGCTGCCCACTTGAGGTTACAAACAAACCATAAGCCCTAAACTGTAGTTTCCATTTTCTTTTCCACTATCCCTATATAACCCCTATAAAACCTTTATATAATCTTTACATTCCCCAGGTTCTCCTGCTCGCTTTTGCTCTTTTGGCTCACTCATGGCGGCTGGGCTTGGCTAGCCAAGCAAAGGAGCTCCTTGGCCGTGTTCGAGGCCTTGGAAGATGTCCGGCAGTACAGCATTCATTCGTAGGGTCACCATAACATGTCAACATGACTCATAGTTCTGCTGCTGCTACAACTCGTAACCTCTAGCTACTGCTACTGCTGCTGCTGTTGCCCAAATTGTAGTTTCTTTGTCGTGGTTAGTGCTGAGGCTCTTTCGGTTTGTCAAGCTTAAGTCAACTGGGGCCCAGGCTCGTTCACGTCGAGCACTCCTGATGCTCCTCGTGTCACCGATCCTTCAGTCACCGATCCTGAGCCTTATATTTCATGTTAGTCCAGTCCACACGGCTGAATCATGGGATGAAGCGCAAAGTAGGCAGGAGGTGTACCTAATTGAGTGGTAAGTATGCGAGGCAGCACACTGATACTTTGCGAAGCGAATGACTCAAGGTGTCTTTTGTCCGAAGTGCAGGCAAATTCACTGCACTGAATTGATAAACGACTCGTCAAGAGGTTCTCGAAGCCTTTATACATGTTATATCGGCGCTACAAATATAGCATAGTTTCCATGTCATTTTCCGTTTAGCTCGTGTATAGCCGAACGCTCATAGTGTCCACTATCTTGTCCAGTTCCGAATACCACCCGAAAGAAGATGGGCCGCTGGCTACCTTCGCTACTCAGAGTAGCTATCCTGATAAACCGATCAGTACAGGCAGCGTGCGAAAGAGCTCCATTTTGGCCTTGTGGATGTTCAGCTCATGGCTGAACAAAAGACGTAGTGTAGGGTGTTGTCATTAAGTCGAGGCCAGAAAGAAAGGTCAGCTCTCGTGTCCTTGGTCCTGGGGTGGGATTCACACCTTGCATCCTTGGGAAGGAGATTGCTGTCAAACTTGGGCCGTAGCGCAGAGCCTTATTTCTGGTACATGTGCAGCGTCTACTTGATACCTGCTAGAACGCAGGTGTCCAGATTTTCCGGGCAGCGGTAGTTTTTTTCCGGGATGGATGGAAGCTTGGAGGCTGTCTGAATTGTCATCCTTAGTTAATTAGAATTTATGCCAGGCAGCAGAGTATTCAAAGAGTTGAGGCCGCTCACGCCCCACCGCGCTATTCCTCAATATGCCCCTTAATATGTAATGGTAGTGGGGTGTTAACACTCAATAATATACGTAGTAGTTTTCCTTTTCTTTCTAATTTTTATGAGAAAGCATTCAAAAACAACTGGTATTATACTGGGGTATTTAATCTTACTTGGAGGCGATCCTGGGGACACCCCTAGGCTGAGCACCCTTGACTGCAGAGATACCCTGGGGTCATGGTTTGGGGTCTAGGGTTTAGGGCTTACAGGGATCATGTAGGGGTTGTGTAGGGTCTAGAGAGTTTAGGGATAGAAGGAAACTGGGGTATTGACAGGATTTATCATAGGATACTGAGTAGCATTTTGGTGTGGATATAGACCCAGTATAGAGTAACATGAAATCCCTTTGGGTATAATGTTTTATCGAAGGACATAGTAGTAAGTTGTACTTGGTTCAATAATCACAAGTATCGCTTTTGAAGTTTTAGTACATGTAGTGTCAGGCGCTGTTGGGACCTTCTGGAATTGAACACTGAAGGAATGCGGTTGGACACTCCAGGAAGGTATACCACTGGGCGAGGCCTTTCTTGAAATCTAGCAACTCACATCCAGGGTCGGGCAACATGGCAGTTTCCAAACATCAGGCGCCTATCTCTGGGATTAGTATGAGAAGTATTTTGGTATAAAGGGTTCTAGATTGGGCCACCCTGATTTTTGGAAATCCATATCACCGTACCAAGAACAGGAGCGTAGCAGTGAGATGTCGGCCAACACATCAAGCACGTCCCAGACAAGCTGCCTCATTTCGATTGTAGCTGACGGCTTTGGGGGGCTTGCCCAACACAGAAGTTCCGCATCCACGGTGCTACTATCAGCCAGCAAGGAAGGCAGATGTCTGATATTTGCATCCATGGATGTGAAGTGGGCATGGCACATGCTAGGCGCCGGAAGTCCTGCTTTCCGGTGTCTGTTTAGGCCTCAATGTACGTTCTTGGCATTGAGAGTCGCCTTGGATAAAGCAAGCACGAAGTGCCCAACGCTTCAAAAGCGTTGAAGGCTTGCTAGTCTTGCTAGCTTATACATCTTTCCAGGCCTGGGTTATGCACAAAACCGCCACCAGCTTCGGCAGATTCCTCCCAGAATCATTAAAAGAAGGTCCTCCAACAAGCAGTCCTGTTTACTCATGTATGGTAGCTTCTATGAATATGGTGACCCCAACATAGACCCCAAAATGTTACGGTCACGGGAACCCCCCCAAAAGGTACGTTCAATTTTGGGAAACCCCCATATACCTTCCATATAATGTACATAAGATGTCTTACTTGGGCTTGGTAGAGAATAAGGGAAGATATTATATGGGGATCATGTAGGGCACATTCCTTTATTCCCTGCTTACCCCAAGTAAGATGCTGGTGTGCTCAAGCCTTTGGTGGCCCACGGTGCTGCCTAATTGCGAAGGTTTATGATCTGGCACTGGGTGTGGCAGCGACCGGATACCTGTGCCAGAACTCTTCGGGGGTTTCCATAAATTGAGAGTCTTACCTTGGATGTGAGTATATGAAGGTTGGTAGTATTTTGGGGTTTGCATTGCGCCCCGCCCTTTTTTGGAACCGCCCCTTCCAACTGATGCCCAGCGCCTACCAGGTCAACGGAGGTGTCCCTAGCGCCTGAAACGGGACTGGGGCTAATTTGTCTTCAGCTATGCCACAGTCCAGCACCTAGGTGGCAACACTCCTCTGCAGGAAGCTGCCCTGCCTTTGAGTATAGAGGTCCTGAACATATTTGCAACACTAAACTCTAAACCATACACGCAATTAGCAGCTAAACATTTATTTTGGAGCGTCCCACTGCAGAGCTGGTTAAAAGATCATTGAATACATTACCATGTATATATATATAAATACTGCTATCATATAATATTTAATGGCACTGTATTGAGGGGGGTTATTATTAGTAGGGGGGTTGGAGGTACTCTTACTTGCAGGCTTCCATGGCTGCGGCACCAGAACGATGGGCCGACAAAAACAGAGATGGGGGTTTCCATAAATTTGGGGTCCTTTTTGAGGGTCCCTTTTTTAGTGAGATATGTTGGGGCTCGATATTGGGGTACCTTGATTCTGGGAAACGAATATATGAGCTGTAGTCTAAACTCCGAGTATCCCCCTTAAAGCCCCTATAACACTCCCCAATGTAATCCCTTCTGTCACCCCTTTTCAGGAGTTGAGACTATAGCTCATATAGTCCTTATACAGCCCTATATGTAGCAGTTTCCATTTCACCGTCCATTTTCGTTTCCATTTGATTCTCCTTTTTTGGGGTATTATAAACCCGACTACTAGGGGGCATCTTAGGGAGCTTAGTATATATTGGGGTTATATTGGGTATATTTATACCCTCTTTTGTTGGGTTTCAGTTTTTGGAAATCTTGCTGCACCTTTGCGAGCTGGCAAGCTCACAGGATCCCAGTTTGAGGTTGAGGGTTTCGGGATTTATGGTTTAGGGTTTAGGGCTTAGGCGGCTTAGGGTTTCTTCAGGGTTAGGGGCTTAGGGTTTAGGGTTTAGGGACTCAGGTTTAGGGTTTAGGGACTTAGGGTTTCGGGGTTTAGGGGTTTAGGCGCTTGGTTAGGGATTAGGCTTCAGGGGCTTTTTGGGGGCTTCGGCTGTACCTTCGGATACTTCCTCCTTGTAGTGTCGCCTCATAAGAAGACTTAATGCAGAGTCCTTGTTCACAGGACCCACACGGCCCTGTACAACTTGCTAGGATTACCCTGCAGAATTCCTTTAGATCGCAGGTGGGTCCTGAGAACAAGGACTCCATCCTAAACCCTAAGCCCCAAACCGCGTGCAGTTGATCAAAGTTCCTGTTCCCAAAATGGCCAGTATGCAGAGTCTCCATATTTTCTGACTAAATTTCCCCAATGGGCGGACGTTTAGATCAACTGATGTCACATGATATCTGAAGCTTTCAGGAAATTTCTTCAAACCCCGAAACCTTCTGGTTGCTAGTAGGGAAGAAGGGAATAGAATCTTCATATAATCCCCATATAGTATATTCCCTTATTCCCTACTAAGTACCAGCAAGCAAGCCTAAACCCTAACTCGCCTGGGCCCTACACCCCAAGCCCCTAAACCCTAAACCTAAACCCTAAACCCTAAATCCCGAACCCCTAAATCCCAATCCCTAAACCCGCCCAAGACCTGCGTGGCTCGCGTCAGCTCAGCAAGCAGTAGAGCAGGGCTCTTTTTCACCTCTGAGCAGACCGGCCCGGAACTTGGCCTTATCTTACTGGTTCTTAGTATGGAAGAGAAAATTCAAACTACTACCTTGGAGTAGGGTATAGTAGGGAATAAGGGAATATATTATATAGGGATTATATAGGGAGTATATTCCCGTAAGAACCAGTAGGTTGCGGGGGTTTGGGGGGACTACAGGGATACTGAGGGCTTT